TCCATCTTTCCCACTGTCAAACTCTTCTGCCAAAAACAAAAATAGCTTCAGATTTTTCATTTGTAAGGCGTCCACGTCCTAGTAAAACCTTGGCATTTGAGGCATGTGCAGTGCCATTGGCTGAAAATGGGGCCGCACCGTTTGCCTGTTGCAGGCATTCATACCCAGGCTGCTCGGGGAGGTTTTGGTGCCCAATGGGGAGCCAAGGCTGTGCTGAGACCACGGAGGAGCCCTATTTGAGCAGGTCATGCCTGCAGGGCAGTTTGGAGAGTGTGGCTAGTGTGGTCTTGGACTGGATTTCTGGTGGAAGACTTCCCTCCCCTTGCAAACCCAGACACACACACACACACACACACACACACACTCTCTCTCTCTCTCTCTCTCTCTCTCACTCACTCTCGGGGTGGGGGTGGGGGGAGCAATAGGGCACTTGGTCCTTTGTGCTTAACTTTTGCCAAGAGAACAAAGGTATGGCCTCTGGAGATAGCCTGGTTCTTGCCTGGTCCTGGGAAGACTAACCTAGATGAATGCCTGGGACAGAAGTTTGGCCTTGGGGCCAGCAGCTTTTATGATGGATAGAGAAAGGTAATTTTTCCTTCTCAGAGCTCAACTATTCATCTGAAAGTGGTTTGTAAAATACCCATGGCCCCTGGAGAAAAGGAGATTGGGGTGGGGTGGAGAGGGTGGGGTGATGCAGCGAGGCTTGTCTGGAGGGCACCAGGCATGAGGCTCAGGAGTCAGGGGCAGCACTGGGATGGGCAGGGGAAGTACATCATCTTCTCGGGATGTGGAGCTGCATGTCTGGTCCACACAGGGTTCTACAGAGTCCTTCCTGGCTCAGCAGACACTGAGTTCTCTCTCAACTCTCTGAGTTCCATTCTGGGATAATGCAGGGATGCTCGGGATCAAAGGTCCAGAGCCCTGGAAGTGGGAACCTGGACCCACTGGATGGAGTCCACGGGAGTGGCCAGGGTGGTGAGGAGACCTAACCTTGGATTCCTTGAGTTCTAAGTGATACAAGTTGTGTGCCAGGTACTAGACACCAGTCTCGTCAGGAATTTCCAGAACTCCCTTGGTAAAAAGGAGGCTCCATCCCCACAACAGGAAGCCCAGATTTGCATGGCCAGTTGACCTCAGAGACCTGAGCTACAGCCTCCATGTCCTGGCTTAGTAGAATGAATGATTATTTCAGCCAAAGCCCTTCTTGTCCACTTCCCTTATTTTATAGATGAGGACTCTGAGCATGATGGTGGCTTGCTTTTGCGAGTTCAGGAGATTATTGAAATTCAGGGGAGCATCAGTGTCTGGCTACACCTAGGCCAAGAGAGCTGATCGATGGTTGATCTGGAACACAGCCACTCCTAAACAGCTGATCCTTAACAACATAGGGCTTAGGGCTTTCCACCCCCGGAACAGTTGAAATCGAGATATAAGCTGCAGTGGGCTCTGAGTGTCCCTGGGTTCCACATCTGACATCCAGAATTGACTGAAGAATCTGTGAGTGCCAAACGCATGATTAGAGAACAATCTGTTTATCAGCACACCCGTGCAGTTCAAACCCACGGTGTCCAGGGTTGTCAGACATGGCACCGAGCCACGTTGAAGGAGCCTTTCTGAGGCTCAGTTTCCTTACTGGAAACTTGTGGGCAGAAACTTACACGTCATAGGATTTTTGTAGAGATAAATTAAATGTTGCTATAAAAGTGTCTAAAACGGTGCCCAGAGCATTGTCAATGCTTAATAAATGCCAACTAAATCTGCATTGGAATTATCTGGGACCACTGTTTCAATTGTGGGCTTTCTCGAAAACTTCTCTTCCTAACCATATGCTGAAGGACTGCAGATTCCCCTAGTAACTTGAAAGAAATCAAGCGATCAGGGTAAATTTCTTGAACAAAGACATAAAATGCCCAGGATGTGTGCCCAGATGTCCTCTCGGGGTATGTGGATTACCCACTGCTGTGGATGAACGATCCCTCTGCTCCTTCCTCCCTTCCTGTAATCAAGAGCTCATCAGGCCTGTGCTGTTTTTCTCTTCTCCAAGTGGTGACATTTATGGGGAATGTCATTGTTATTCCTGTTGTCTTCTGTGGCATCTGAATCGAGTTCCCTAGATGAGAGAGCAGAGAGACCTGTGAAATCTCCTTAACATGCAGATGGGGAAACTGAGGTGGAGATCAGCTCTTAGGAAACTCACCTGAGAGCACACTGCGTCCGAGGCACTTACACTGGGTTCTCTTGATTCAGTTCTGGCTAGAGTTTACTGTCTGTTTGGAGAGCGATGTCTACCCTTGCAAACCCCTGAAATACATTAGCAAGACCTGGAGTAAAATAGATTGCACATGGCATTGACAAAATCGAGGTTCCCCGATTTTGCAGCTCCTATTGCGGTTTGTGTGCTGCTTCCCGGGTTGTCAGGTAAAAATGGAAGCATCAGTGCCTTTCTCCTTGAGGAGCTGAATGTGGGATGGGAGAGGAGCAGAGTAGTTGTACCCTTGAACTCCACATTCAGACAGCCTGGCTTTAAATCTCTCTGCCTACTTATTGTATCCTAGAGTCAGTCATTACCACTCCTCTTGCTTCATCTTCCTCCCCTACAAAATGGGGACAGTGGTGTCTACCGCCCAAGGTTGCTGGTAGGGTCTCTTGAGATGGTCCGTGACTCAAGGGCACTGGACCTGGCACGCAGTCCACTCTCAGAAACATCAGCTGCTGCTCTGCTTACAAGGGACCTTGAGAACAGTGTGGACATTGCAGCACATGGTGTGGGGTCAGGCTGCCCAGGTGGGTCCCTTTCCGGCTGGCAGATGCTGGTTTCATACTCTTCCTCCTAGGGTTGCTGTGGGGATCGCATGCGATGATCCCTGGGAGAGAGTGAGTGCCTGGCATCGAGTCAGCGCTCACAGTCCTTGATAGCTGTGATTGCTGATAAGATGTGTAAAGACGTGTCCGGGAGCCAGGTCAGAGGGTGACAGGCATGACAGACAAGGGGCAAGAAAGTGCTGAAAGCACAAAGGAGAAGAAAATGCCATAGAGGGGGCATCACAGAGAGGGCGAGGGACAGGTTGGCTTCTAATCAGAGGGCTTAAGGGGAAGGGTATCCCCAACAGAAGGAAGACAGATTCCCCCACAAGGCCTGTGCACCAGCCAATCTGGTCTGTGGTCTTTGTGCTGGAGGCGAGGAAGGGTCTGGGGACCCTGGGGGACCCTGGGCTGAGATCATAAGCTGGGGTCTGTTTGTGGAAATGCTGGGCTACCAGACCAAAGAGTTTGAATTTGATTTTGCTGGCTGTGGAGGAAATCCTGCTTTAGGAAGATTACTCTGAGCAGAATGGATTTCCGGGGAACAGGAGAAACAGGGTTAGGGGGTTGACTAAGACAGAAGCAGGCCAATGGGAAGGAGGCCTGAGGGAATTGGGGCCTTAATGAGGGCAGGAAGAGCTATGGTTTCCTTATTTACACACGCTTTGGGTAGAGCCAGGAAGAACACGGCCAGGTGACAGGCACAAGGAGGCTATTCAGTGTAAACCTGTCCAGTTTCAAAGGCAGGTGCAAGAGTCCAGTGGAGGCTTAGGAGCAAGAAGAGGTAGAGATCTGAACTTTCTAGAAGAATCGGGAATCAGGAGAAGGAAGCAGGACCCAGGGGAAAGATAGAGATCAGATCTCATAAGACACACCTCTGCCTCATTTATTTAAACCTACAGTCAAACCAATGGAAGCTCAGAGGGTCCAAATAACCTTGAGTCAGGATTGGTTCTGTGTGATCAGTTTAGGGCCCGTGAGAATGAGCGTGTCAACCCCGCACGATTCCCCACTGCTGTTACGTGTGTTTCTGTGTCACCGCATGTCTTCCCACAGATGGTATACATTTGGGGATTGCAGAGTCATTTCACTATCATCTTTAAAAAGCCAGATTTGGGAAGGTAAATCTGTTTCCCAGAGCCAAAAATAATCCCCCCTGTCCTTCATGGTTCCCTCCATCCCTGCAGGTGAGGGGAGGTGTGTTTGGGGTGTAGCTCGGAGAGCTTTGGGTGAAGCCACAAGGTGCCCAGCTCTGGGGGAACTTCCAAGGGAGGCGTGGAGCCAGGTAAAAGAGGCTGGCATGGGAAGCTGGTGTTACATAACCCAAGGGAGCTACGGCTGGTGGGCAGATGGAAACGAGAGGCGGGGAGTCTGGAGACAGGCAGGGAGTGTGCATCAGCTTTCCTCCGGGAGGGAGCGGGACACGCGTGGAAGGCAGGTGAACCGAGAACCCAAGAGTCCCTTTAGGCGGACTCTTGGTGGACAAGGGACCCTACGCAACCTCAGAGCCTCGCCCACATCTTTCTCTCATGGCTCTGAGGGGGACGATTGGATTCTAGCCGCCAGGTACCTGGGGGAGCAGCACTGCTCCGTGGTAGTTGGAGACAGAACTCCACCCATCACGGGATCTACTGTCGTCACCTGCCTCTCGAGGAATTTTCCAGATATGGGCTGCCCCTAACCAGTGAGGAGTAGAAAGGACGTGTTTACCTGATCTCCGCCATCCATACCCCATTCTTGATTACCCTGGTGGGTGAAGAGCGAAATAAAAATTAACATGTTTATCCCACTTTTAAATTCGTTTAATGAGGACTCATTTACCCTCTCCCAATTTAAATTCGTAATAACGCCATAACCTTTCAGAGCTGATTATTTCCCGCATCCTCCCAGATCTCTCTGCTAGGGAGACTTTCCCTCCGAAGGCTCCTGAGCCCTTCTGGAACTTGACAATTTGTCAGGCTGTCAACAACATCTGGTGATTCCCACCTGACTGTGCCACCGGTGCTAGGTTCTCTCCCTGCAGGGCAGAAGGGAAGGGAACAAGCCCCCTCTCTTGGGTGGTGACTTCAGCTTAAATAATTGGCCTTCAAGTTATAGGCTCTTGCACCCACCCAGGGCGCTTCCCTGAGTTGCATAACCTCCCTGGGAGTCGGTCACGAAGACTCACCTGCTTCTCCCTCTCTCCTCCCGTCTCGCAGGGGTCGCTGAACCAACTCCAAGCTGCTGTGCCAAGCGTGCGCGCCGGGGCCGGCCCGAGAGCTGGAGTCACCATGGCGGCCGGCGTCGCAGCCTGGCTGCCTTTTGCAAGGGCCGCGGCCATCGGCTGGATGCCGGTGGCCAACTGCCCCATGCCCCTCGCCCCTGCCGACAAGAACAAGCGGCAGGATGAGCTGATCGTGCTCAACGTGAGCGGGCGGCGCTTCCAGACGTGGCGGACCACCCTGGAGCGCTACCCGGACACCCTGCTGGGCAGCACGGAGAAGGAGTTCTTCTTCAACGAGGACACCAAGGAGTACTTCTTCGACCGGGACCCCGAGGTGTTCCGCTGCGTCCTCAATTTCTACCGCACGGGGAAGCTGCACTACCCGCGCTACGAGTGCATCTCGGCCTACGACGACGAGCTGGCCTTCTATGGCATCCTGCCCGAGATCATCGGAGACTGCTGCTACGAGGAGTACAAGGACCGCAAGCGGGAGAACGCCGAGCGGCTCATGGACGACAACGACTCTGAGAACAACCAGGAGTCCATGCCCTCGCTCAGCTTTCGCCAGACCATGTGGCGCGCCTTCGAGAACCCGCACACCAGCACGCTGGCCCTGGTCTTCTACTACGTGACTGGCTTCTTCATCGCTGTCTCGGTCATCACCAACGTGGTGGAGACGGTGCCATGTGGCACGGTGCCCGGGAGCAAGGAGCTGCCATGCGGGGAGCGCTACTCCGTGGCCTTCTTTTGTCTGGACACCGCGTGCGTCATGATCTTCACCGTGGAGTACCTGCTGCGCCTCTTTGCAGCGCCCAGCCGCTACCGCTTCATCCGTAGCGTGATGAGCATCATCGACGTGGTGGCCATCATGCCCTATTACATCGGGCTGGTCATGACCAACAACGAGGACGTGTCGGGCGCCTTCGTCACGCTGCGCGTGTTCCGCGTCTTCAGGATCTTCAAGTTTTCCCGCCACTCGCAGGGCTTGCGGATCCTGGGCTACACGCTCAAGAGCTGTGCCTCTGAGCTCGGCTTCCTCCTCTTCTCGCTCACCATGGCCATCATCATCTTTGCCACTGTGATGTTTTATGCCGAGAAGGGCTCCTCCGCCAGCAAGTTCACGAGCATCCCTGCGTCCTTTTGGTACACCATCGTCACCATGACCACGCTGGGGTAAGTCTCCCGCGCCGGCCTTGGAGGGTGGAGAGTGGACTGCCTTGCTGCTGTGGTTGTTCTGGGGTTTGAGCAGAAAAGAAGCTGCCTGCTCAGCAGAGGATGACACGTGCATGGTTTGTTGGGAAGGGGAAGCTCGCTCTGAAGTGGGTTTTCTGTGGGGAGTTGGGTATGTGTTTTGGAAACCATACAGAACTAAGCCGCCTTTGCTTTTTTCAGCCGTGCATTCAGGCTACCTGCTTGTGTGTGTTGGGGAAGGGAGGCGGTACAGTGGCTGCATTCTTTTGTAGCCTGCATAGAAGGGCTGCAGCGGGTGGGGAGGAGAGGTTGTGCTGGCACTGTAAGGAGGGCTCCGAATCCCATTCACAGGAAACACCAAGAATACTCATCTGGGCGCCTTCCTCCATCTCGTCTTTGTAGTAAGGTTGTGGGTGGTTTTCTCCTTACTTTTCTGCTGCTGCAGATGCTCAAGGGTTCAGTAGTTCTGAGCTGACTCTCTCCAAGTGACTCTGAACCTGGGGTTTCCATGAAGCTGGGCACTCGGTTTGTTCTCGAAAGCAGGAGCAGTCTTGCCATCGCAGCCTGACTTTGTGATTGAATCACCTGGCCCACCTGGATGATGTGAGATGGTTTGAAAGGGTCGTGTGGTCAAACATGGAAGCAACGATGTTATCAGGGGGAGGCAGGTGCGGTTGGCGAGGTCACGGGTGACTCCACTGTCTCCGACTCCCAGAGCTTCCCTCTCCAGCTGAGGGCACAGAAATGTACTCCTGGTGCTGGGATGTGACGCCCTCCATCAGAGGAAGGGGGCTCAGGAAGGAGATTACCATCCTCACCCTAACAGGATTAGAGCCAAGGAGGGCAGCTTTATGGAGATGTGTATTTCTTAGGGGTGTCTGCTTCAGCCGTTGGATGATGCTGAGGTTAATGCGAAATCCCTTCACAATTCATCTGCTGGGTCTGTATTTGCTTAGGCCGGGAAGCGTTATATTGCTGATGGAGAATTCATGAAGCTTTTTATTTGGTCTTTGGCAATTCATTTGGTGGTGTCTTGGCAATTCCATTTTTTTTCCTGGCCAACTCCTGTGGTGCAGGTGTCGGTTTTTCATGGTGTGGTGTGTGCTTATTGGGGGTGACCGAGCAGGTGATGGGACCTTTTAAAATGATGACATTTGTCATTCTGCCACCAGGAGCGAAGATGCGAGGGGGAGATCAGGGGTGTCACTGTCCATTTGCGAAGCCACATTTGATGAAGGCATTCCCTAACCTCTTATCTCTGACAGAGGCCGTCCTGCCCCTTCCTCTCACTCCAGGACACACACACACACACTTCGGGTAGCTGCACCCACCCAAAATGGGTAATCATGAATAATGTCTGGTCATTTGACCTTGTATCTCAGGCCTTGACCTTATTGGCTCAGGGGGCAGATGTGGGGTTTGGGCCCAGGGGGATACATAGAGTTAAAACAGCCCAGGGAGCTGGCTGCTGTGCATATTTGCCCCTTCCAGTACCCCCTTGGCCACGCCCTGACATGGCCTGACTGTCCAGTGCCATCAACTACCCCTTGATGGTACTCACACCTGCAGAAGAATGCCTCAGGACTTCCAGGGGAGAAAAGAGGGCAGATGGATGGTTTTGAGAGTTAAAATGGGACCGTTTCAGAGGAGAACAGTGAAACTTCAGCGGCCACCTCCCCATTACTTTTTATTATTCATGTAGCTGCAGCTCGTGTGTGTGTGTGTGTGTGTGTGTGTGTGTGTGTGTGTGTGTCCTGTGTGCTCAGCACTTTGCATCTATTATCTCTGCAAGTTCAAGACTTAAATGTAGGAAAAATTCGATATAACTTTGAAGACGGGGAAGGTGGGTTTCAGGGAGGTTAAGTCACATAGCTGATAAGGAGCAGAGCTGATTTCCAAATCCTAGTCTGGCTGTCTCCATTTACCCTTTCCCTGTTCACCCACCATCCACTGCCCCATGCCATCAGGGTCCACAGGTGGAAATCAGACTTTCAGAGTTATTTTTTTTATGGTCTCAAGGTATCATAGTCTATTCTAATCATATCACTGTTCAAAGGACGCATCAGCCTCATGAGGCGTGCATGCGAGGCACTGTACTAGGTACACAGGGATTTGAAATACTGCCTTTGAAGTGAATGGCTGCTTTCTTAAGAAAATGCAGTGTTTTCTGTCCCTGGGGGGAACCACTGATTTCCTTTAGCATCCGCCATGCCTGTCAAGGGGCAAGCTCAATGTCAGAGGATGGGAAATCTTAGCCTTACATGCACTTTTTTTTTTAAAATTTTTTATTATAAATTTTTTTTTATAGAGGCATGTTTTTATTTATTTGTTTGTTTATACATGCACTGGGTACAGTCAGAAGCGCGGGAGGGTGAGAGAATTCACCAGAGCCAGAGCGGGGAGCAGAGCAGGCAGAAGGACCGAAGTACACTGCTGAGGGGAGCAGCGGGCGGCAGGAGAGGTCTGCGCGCCATGCGGGACCCTCCTCCGGTGGCCGGGGAGCAGCCGGGGAGTAGCCGGGGATCGAACCGGTGCTGCAGAGGCTGCGGGCAGCTTCGCAACCCAGCGCTCAACCGCTGCGCCACCGGGGAGGCCCTTTACATGCACTTTTAAGTGGGGACCAAGAGGATGAAGGCAAAGAGGACACCTGCATGGGGATAAACACGCTTCCCCTCACCTTGGACCCCGTGGCTTCTTGTCCTTCCTTTCTCCATGCATCAGGGTGTCTAGCTCTGGGAGGAGAAAGTAATGGACAAGGAGGACTTTAACAGTGTCTTCCTTAACCTCAGAGAAGTAACAGAGAAGCAGGCCTTTTCTTGCCCTCCACCCTAGCCCCTGTCGCCCAACACTGGGTTGGGTCACTTTGACTTTGACCTGAGTTGGCCCTGGGAACCATGACCGGGCTCATATCTTGGCTGTACAGAGCAGGTGCGTGGCCCAAGGCCTTTAATGGGTGGGTCGGTGTGCATGGCCTGGCCACTTCCAGTTGCTTGGTCTGATACAGTTCGCAGTCCTGCCTCGACCTGCCTGTCTGTCTCTAGGGTCAACCCAAGGTGGATGCTGTACCCCAGCCCAACCCCTGGGAGACACGGGTCACTGGCCCATCCCCTGCAGGTTGCGCTGCAGGATTGTGGGGTCTTCTTGCCCTTTTCACCAACTGGGCCCTGGAAACTTTTCTTCTCCCCTGGCTAGTTTCTATCCTGAGCATGTTAATGGCTACTCGTAGGCTTATGAGCCATTCTACAGAGCCTGTCTTTTTTTCTTTTTCTTCACTGGCATCTGGGCCCCAAGGGACTGTGGAGTACTAAGACCTGATTCTCTCCAAGTTCCATGTTCTGTCCTTTGCTTCCAAGAGCTCCCGGCAGACACGTCATCCTTCCATCTCCAGACTCTCCTAGCTCTCATCTTCCTCTGCCTTCCTGTTTCCAGGCTGGAAAGACTGCAGGGTTGACCAGCCGGTCGAGGGCGAGTGTGCCGAGGGAAGGACCCCCTCTTTCTGGCTCTGCCGGCTTTCCCGGGACTCGCTGATGACTTACTACTCAGGTGTCCTCCAGGGACGGATCTCCTGGAGCCAATTATTCTGTTTATTTAATATCTCAAAATACTTTAAACACACAAGAACATTAACAGCCCAGTTGCCACCAAACCTTGGGGCTGGCTTTCCTTGGTGCCCCCTGTGCTGCGGGGGAGACCCCCTGGTCCAGCCCAGGTTCCCTTGTGCCCCCTTGACAGTCAAGCTCCCAAGTGCACCATTAAAGGATTAATTTCCGTGCTCTTAATTGATGCTATAAATAAAATAAATCCTCAATTATCTCAGCTAACAGAGGGAAGGGAATAATACAGAACTCCCAATATTAAATAAGACCAACATATCTAGTTTGGAAATGTATTATATGCTGCAGACTTTTTGAAAGCAGATTTTGTTCTTAGTTTTCTTTGACTTTGCTTGGTATTACAGTTGGCCTAGACCACCTGAGCTGGCGGGGGGCGGTGCAGGGAGGAGGGGAGCACTTGGGAGGGAAGCCTTGTCAGTGAGAGTCAGCAGCACCAAGGCTGGAGGGGGAGGGGAGGCAGCATCTCCAGGCCTGGGTGCCTGAGGCGCCCAGTGGCCTCAGGGAGGGGGAGTTGAGCATGGGCAGGGCAGGAGCAGCCTGGCTCCGAAGATGATGGCCCACTGCTGCCCAGTTGGCCTGGTTATGTAATTGAGACCGGCAGCCTATCTGTCACCCATGCCCTGAGATGAGAAAGCTTTTGACAGTGTCCAAAAATCACTTTAACAAAAACAGAATCGATTTTTGCTTCCTCCAAGCACGAGCTCAAAGCAGCCTCCAGGTAATTTGCATCTCTCCTTAAAACATCATCCTGGAAGGGGCCTGCCTGAGATTTCAGGAGCCAGGAGCCCAGCCCATGAGATCAGCATAGGCACCCCACAACAGGCTACGCTGGCCTGCCAGGCTCCCTCCCAGAGCCAAAGTGCAGTCAATTTCAGATCTGTTTGGTTAACCCTTCATTCCCTGAAATTCTGCCTGCGCCTCTGTCCACGTTCTGTCCTCTACTTCCAAGAGCTCCTGGCAAACACATCATCATTCCACCTCCAGACTCTCACTGCCTTGGTGCCCACCAGCCCTCCTTCCACTGCCAGGTGCCTTGGCCCTTGACACTGACCCACAAGGCCTGTCTGGACGTGGGGTCTTTGCCCAGGGGACTGTGATCAGAGCCCACATACTGAGAATGAATAACCTCAAGGTGTTCGCTTGGTTTGACATGTGTTAACCAACTGTTCTCTGGTGCTGAAATTCCTGAATCCCAACAAGAAAACTTTCAGCCATTCAGCATTTACTGAGTGCCTGCTGTGTACCAGGCAGATGGCAGGCCCTGAGAATACGCAGGCACTGTGATTGCAGCCCAGCCCGATGTAAAGCACAGACAAAATGAATGGAAGGAGTCTGTTCTCTTCCTCTGAACCAAAGTGAGAGCTTCTG